CTCTAATTCCTCCCCAAGCAAACTCCTCAAAGTTCCTTTGAATCTCTTCCTTTCTATACGACACATAGAATTCCTCTTTGAAGCGGCAAGGAGGAAGAAATCTCTCACTTTATCTCCACTCTTATAATCTCTCAAAGAATTCCTCATCGTCAGCGTCGTTGGGCTCGCCGTCGACGCCCTAGTTCAAATCTTCACATTTTGGTCCTTTTCGCTCCAAATTCGCTCCTTTTTGCATCTTTTTGCTCCAATGACCATAATTCTGCATATCTGCAACAAAATATCAAAAATATATTTTTTAAAGTACAATATCATCAAAAATAGTGTAAAATAGGTATGAAAATTTCAACATATTTTCTTTTGGTCAGCCCGCCGACAATGCCCTCGAGGCCACCGACGGCGAGATCAGCGGTTATTTCCAAAGTGCATAGAATGTGGACGATTTTCGGAGGGACCATACATATTTTCATCTTCATTACACTACCATTTTGGAGTCTATTAGTAATTTTTCTTTAAGATTTTAGAGTTTTTGTTTTGAGATTACGTGTGAATCTTTCTCTAAGAGTGTTGGAGATGGAGAAAAGTGGGATATTTCTTCTTAGTACATTTCCTAGGAAAGGCTACAAATAATTTGCTTTGAGAATGGCTTTCAGATAGGTGTTGTTTGTTTTACTTTAGTGTTATACAAACTTTCTTTTATATATGAAATTTGTGTTTTATTGTATCTTTCTCATGAAGTCTGAGTAGTTTCCTTTATCTTTCTCCCTACTCTGAGATATAGTGAAATGAAGAGATAATATGGATGTGCCAATGTTAAATTTTAAGATAAATTGTGATGATTTTTCAACTCTGAACTTATTTTACTTTTCAATTGGCTAATTGAATTGTTAAAATTTGTTGTGAAACATATGATCTGAGAAATAGAGTATGAGTTCTACAACAGAGTGAGGATCACATTTGATAACATGAAGGAGAACTTTGTTCATAGAATTAAGTGTAAATAAATAGAAAAATATATATTATTGGATGTAGAATTGGAGATTTTAGAGTGATGGACTAAAATCCTCAATTCAATCCTATCGTTTGGTGCTGAAGTGTAGATGTTAGCCCTCAGACGAAGGGAACGTGGGAGCTCCGAAGTGAGAGCTGGTATCCTCCCAGCCTAACCACAGATTCAATAAACAAGCGTAGCATTAGTCAATGTTCTTTATGTCTGGACCAAAGGGTAAAGAATAGATATGCTCCAATTTGGCACAATATAAATTGAACTAATTTACTTTATCTATTTACTATAATTTATTGACAAGCAGAATGATGCTTTTTTATATATTAAATATCACAATTAGACCCTCCTTAGTATCATTAGTTATTTAATAGTTATTAAATTTACCTATTTATTTTAATTGTCTATTAGTGACAGATAAACAAATTGAACTTCGTTGTTGTGATTAAAGTTGATTTTCTAAAATCTTAGTTCGTAGTTCTAATATTACTCCTTGTGGGATCGATATCTAGGACTCCATTAGAGCCCTATATTACTTGAGCGATACGTAAACTTGCGTTGATAAGTGTGACTTTACCATTATTGAATATTTTATATATACATCTTTATCGAATCTATAACTGTTATTAAATTTTTTGTGTCGTTGCTGAGGAATTAAATCTTCTAGCAACAATATTAAATACTTGTATTTTTAAGCATATATAAAGTCGTTGTCACTATTCACAACGAGGTAATCAAATGCCTAATCAAACATTTTCTACCTGAGTGTTGAGTGCCTCATTGTCTTGAATCGCTAGATAATGATTGATTTATCAAATATACACTTTCTTTGAAAGGCTTCACAAAAAAGAGGCCTTTAACTCTGATCCAACAAGAAATCAATGAGATAAGAACAACCCTACACTTTTTTTCATCATGGTAATCCTCTGTGAGTTAGAGCTTGATCATTCCGTGGAAGCTATGGTCATGAAGAAGATCGAATAGATGGAGTCAAAAAAGAAAGAATCATCAAAAGCACGAAACCTTGAATAAGAATGTCTAAGAAAATAAAAAACAATGCATGGAATTCAAATCACGATTCTTCTGAATAAGACCTCTAACGGGAGGTTGTCATAAGAAAGAAGAAGAACAGGGTCTACGGGTTGGGGTCCCAAGTGTCGGTCTATGATGCCTGTCCGACCTCTAGCACATCCAATGCATCTACTTCCACTTTATAGGAGGAGGAGATGTATCACATCCAATGCATCTACTTCCACTTTATAGGAGGAGATGTATGACCAGGTTGCTACTGAGGTTGTTGACCAGTCAGCCACCCCGATATCATAGATGAGGGCAGAGATCAAAGCGACGCTGCTTTCGGAACTGCAGAAAGGGAAGGAGCCAGTGCAGAAAGAGGGTGGGGATAATGATAATGAGGAAAGGACACGGGATGATGAGGAGGATGAGTAGGGGTTTATTTTCTTATTTGGTTGTGTATTGAACAATTTATTATTAGTGAACATTAGTTTTATTGTGCAATTGTACATTTTGCTTGTTTTAATTTAATTAATTTTCTTTTATTTCTGTATATAATTTATGTGTTAAATATTTTTGTTAATGTGTTGTGCTGTGTTTTGATTGATCTGTTACGATCGTAGGTGTGTAGATTGGAGTATTGAAAAATGCTTTATAGTTTTTCTGATGGTACATGTTTTCGTGGTTTTATGATACTTTATCAAACAAACGACGGTTTTTCAACATTTTATTGAACAGGCGATGTCTGGGCAAAGTGCTACACTTTTGCTACGGACAGAGCCGACGGTAAATTCCCACGGTAACTGATGGTTTAACAATAGTATATCGACATAACCGCGATACTTTTCCGTTGAAACTGCAACAATATTCCTACGGACATATTCATTGGTTATATAATCGTCGGTCAAGCTACAATTAAATATGACATGCTTATGGATCTATAGCAACAGTTTATCGACGGAACCATGATACTTTTCCGATGAAACTACAATACTTTTCCTACGGATAGTTTCATCGGGTATATAATCGATAGTCAAGCTACGGTCAAGTATGACATGTTTTTGGATCTATAGCGACGGCAATGGTGTGTCGGCTAACCCTCGATTAATGTAAACCGTTGTTAAATCTGTCGGTAATTGAAATACCTACAAGCATTTTTGCAACATCAACCTTATCATAGTTAAACCGTCGGTAAATATATTACCTACGATTTATCCATTATTATCGACAATATTTAAGCATCTGAAATAAATTAAATTCTTATAGTAGTTCCTTCTAAGAAAATATGTATAAGTGTGCTTTAATTAGGAAGAAACTAGTCTTTTTATTTGTAAGGCTTGTGATAATGTCATTAATTTCAAAAGGCAGGCAATGAAAGAGGGAATATTTGATGACACCTTTTGTTATTATATGTTGATTTGGAAGTTAATATAGCTTATAGTCATCCGACCAGATGTCACATTCATCATTCGAGTAGTGAGCCAATCGCGAAAAACAAAAAAGGGAAGCATTTTAAGGACCATCCCTTATCCTCAAACACGCCAAGAAAACTTCTTGAAGAGGGATGAAAATAATTGTGCAATAAAGCACTTTATGTCGAACCCCTCTGCAATACTGATAATGCTAACCAAATACATTATATCTTTCTAGATGTAAATTTGGTCGCTTGAAAATAGCAAAAATCCTGCAGTTGGAGCTAAAGCTAATCTCAAAACTCAACATAGTAGTTATGATTAGAGGTGTAAATAAGTTAAACTTGATGAAGTTAAACATGTGCTCGTATTCGACTTATTTATATATATTTTTTATTCAAAATGGACTTGCGTTCAAACTAGTTAGTGAACGATCGAATCATGTTCTGTTTAAAAAAAATATTTATGTTTGTTTTAAGCTTAGTGAACGATCGAATCATGTTCTGTTTAAAAAAATATTTATGTTTGTTTTAAGCTTGAGTAAAATTGACTTGTTTAAATTAATTTTAAAAAATAGATTTATGTGCTAGATTCAAACCCACATCATTCCTATAAATAAAAGACACGTAACCACATGACCACATATGTTATGGTGATTTTAATGTCTCTCTCTCTAAGTGCACACACATACAGACATACATACATACATACATACATACATACATACATACATACATACATACATACATACATACATACATACATACATACATACATACATACATACATACATATACATACATACATACATATATAATAATAATTATTATAATAATAATAATAATAATAATATCATTCTCTTATTTCAAGCATAATAATAATAATAATAATAATAATAATATCATTTTCTTATTTCAAACTATTGTTGGTGTTCGACTCATTTATAATTCGAACTTAAGAAGCTTATCTGTATTCGACTCACTTAAAGCACAATTTGAACATGATCTACTTAACGAGTCTATCACGAGCTCTTCACGAACAAAGATCTTTTTTAACAGTCCAAGCTATGTGTCATTTTAGTCAGGAAATAATATAGATAAAAACTCTTTTAATTTTTTTTTTCATGTCAATTAATATATAATATTGAATTGTAATAATGATATCCCATTTATATTATCAATTTATATATGTATTAAATATATTAAAAAATATAAGTACTTATATTTCTTATTCTAAATAAGTGATGAATACATTTAACAAATGCCGATATATATAATTATTATTATCCTTAGTATTAACGCGTTTGAAAACATAAAAAAAATTATTAGTAATGGATAATATAAAGAAATGTATATATAGTTAGAGGGGCATAGATAGTTATTCACTTGTTGTTATGTGAGTTGTTTAGATGTTCGAAGCAATTTACACCATTGCCTAGAGACCACATTTCACGACATAATATTTTCTCACCATGCACACCTTCAAATTAAAGAAAATTAATAAGAAATTCAATCAAAATAACAAAATAATGAAATTCTCCTACCAATTCAGTTATTAGAACGATGAGTCTGCCAACCAACTCATTTACTACTCTCCTCAAATAAAAAAAAAATGGTTAAATTTATATCACTGAGAAAAGAGTGAAAAATACCACCCATTATTATAAAAACCAAATAATAATAATAATAACAACACCCTCTGCAGACCAATATTTGCAACCACATCAAAAGCCATCCACACATTGGTTCACGTGCTGAATAGCCAATCCGCACTTTACTGAATGTGGGCCCACACGCCCCCGCTCGGGACACCTCCGTTCACAACAAACACCATATAATACCCCGGCGGCGCCACCGCCGCCGATGCCGGCGCCGCCGCCACTACCGCATAACTCGATTTCCAATTCGAGGTTCCCGTCGCCATCTTGCTCCCCAATATCAGCAGCCTCTGATTCATCGAAAACGAATGCGTCGAAAACCCCGGCATCACCATCGTCACTCTCACATCTTCCCTCCTCAACACGCTCACATTAAACCCCAAAACAAATTCTTTCGCATAAATCAGCTCCAACGACTTCGAACCATCAGTTACGATTTCCGGCCGCAATCCGCCAAATTCCACGCCCAGATATTCGGGCGAGAACGCCTCGAGGCTGAGCTCCGTCGGGTACTGAACGCCGGAGAAATTATAGTAAATGTGCGGGTTGCTTCCGCCAACGAGCACGCGGCCATCTCGCAGAAGCACGGCGGTGGAGTGGTACAGTCTAGGTATGCTCGACGGGCTCTGCACCACAAATCTCGACTCTTTCGGCAGGTACACAATCGGGCTGAGAACCGGCGATCGGCCCAGCTCCCACCCCGCCGTCCCCGCCTCTGCTCCATTTATAATAAGCACATCAGCGCCCGTTGGAAGCAGAACCATATCCCCCATCACCCTCCCCACCGGCATTGTCTCCATTTGCCACGTCGGCGAGGAGTCCGTGATTTTGATTCGTCCGCACGTGCTCAACGCTTTCACATAAGTCGCATTTTTGGAGGCCAGGGTGTAAGATCCTTTCGGTGCACCGCCGCAAACGAGAACCTCTGCCTCGACTCCCGACGGGCTTAACGGAAGCAGTACCGAAGAACCGCTGCTGGGGTAATTTCTGGGATCACTTCCCGGCAACGTAGGGTACGTTCTCACGACCTTGTCATTCCTATAATCAAAGAGGATCGCGCGGTTATTGGCGAAGATAAATAAGTTTCCGTCCACGTTGAGGTATACGAAAGGGTAAAGGTTGTTCTCCTCTGCATCCTTGGTTTGCGACAGAAATGGGAGGATATAAACGCCAGCGTTTGAATCCTTGGGGTAAAATTCGTAGCTGAACTGCCTGCGGCCGCCGACGATTATCGCGCTGCCATCTGGGAGAACCGCATTGGTTGCGTACCAGCGGCGAACCGCGAGGCCGATGGGGTTCTCCGACCAATCGCAGTCGGCGCTGGGATTGTGGCGGGCCGGGAGAATGCGTACGGCCCGCTCGCCGTCGTTAAAGCCGCCGGTTTGGATGAGGCTGCCGTGGGGGGAAACGGTGGCGGAGGAGCACCAGGTGTCAGTGTGGATGGTGAGAGGTCGGAAGGAGTTGGTGGTGATGTCGTACTCGACGGAGTGAGCGGTGCAGTCGTGTTGCAGAGCTTGGTCATTGCGGTCTTCGCGGCAGTTGCCGGCGAGGAGGGAGAGGTTGGAGGGTCCGAAGTCGGTGCGGTCGAAGACGATGATGCGGTCGTTGTGGAGGAGTTGCATGTGCATGGCTGAGATGCCGATGTCTGGTTGAAGAAGAGACCAGCTGCCGTATGGGGCGGCGGCGGTGAGTTGGAGGTGAGAGATGAGGAAGATGAGCAAGGCGGGAGTGGATGCGGGAATCATTTTGCCGGTACTGTTCTTGGGAGAAGCTTGTTTTTAAATAATCTATTATGTAAACACTTTATTTTAGGTCTGATTGTACCGAAAAATTATTCCATACAGACGTTTATCAGCACAAATGTATATTTCGGTGGCCTCATTTTTTTATTTTCTTATAAAAATGATGATGTGGAGATCTTTCTACATATTTTGTCCGTATTACAATTCTATAAATTTCCTTCAAAAATATAGCTTGAATTTTTTTTTTTTAAATTTGAATAAAAGATTTTGTGACACAGGTTACAACTTGAGAGGAATGTGATTCAGAACCTCATAGTATGGGAAAAATATTATATTAGGACTTCAAACATAGAGCTACGTTCAGATTGCAATAGTTGAGAATATCTCGTCGTGAGCTACGTTCAGATTGCAATAGTTGAGAATATCTCGCCGTGTTACAAGAATATTTCATTTGCGTGATTTGTAAAAAATGATGTGTTATTTGATTATTTTTGCGGTGTTGTTGAAATATTCTCACGCGTTACTTGATTTTGGACTGTGTTATTAGACATATTTCCCGTGTTATTTTAATTTTTACTATTTTATTAGAATAATACAGCCCCAAATCAAGTAACGCGGGGGAATATTTCAATAGCACCACAAAATAATCAAATAATATCATATAATACTCGCATAACACTTCATTTTTTACAAATAACGTAAATGAAATATTTTTATAGCACTGTGGGATATTGCTAACTATTGTAATCCGAATGTAGCTCTACGTTCGGAGTCCTGACGTAATATTTTTCTCATAATCTGAAAATGGTGAATATTGTTGTTCTGATAGACTCTTTCTTCATAAATTTGTCAGCCAAATGAGCTAGTATTGGTCTCTTGACGTTCTCCGTCATTAAAAGTAGACGAACCAAGCTCTCTCAAAACAGAGCGATTATTACATCAGGGCATCAGACATAAATTTGTGTTCGGAGTCTAGTGAGCACTTGTCATTTGGTAAGTGGGTCCTACTGCAATACATTGAGTAGATTTTTTAGATGGGTGAGGCCTGCATGCCATGTGGCACACATGCATTGGATTCCGGATGCATGTAATAATTTTTGTTCAAAAAAAAATCCTAAAAGATTTTTAAAAAGAATCAGGTGCGGTGTGAATGTAAAAAAATCATGTATTTTAATGAGAAAAAATCATTAAATTGAGATTAACGATTGCATACAAGAAAATAAAAGAGATAGAAAATTAGTATATTAAAAATATTCATTTTTCTAATTATTTTTATTTACAATTAAGATTACATTTTCTGAAAGATTCCTTTTCTGGAAGGGAAATCTTAAAATAAATTACATTGCATACAATAAGAAAATAAAAGAGATAGAAAATTAGTATATTAAAAATATTCATATTTTTAATTACTTTTATTTACAATTAAGATTACATTTTCTGTAAGATTCCTTTTCTTGAAGGGAAATCTTAAAATAAATTATATTACGTTTTAATTACAATGGATACTTCTTAATTTACCGATATATTTTACATCGAGATACGTGCTCTTAATTCTTACTCGCCCAGCGAGCACAATTAGTGCATCTTGGGGCGTCCCATTAAGGCAAAACTTAGGTCAAAATTCAAGTCAAATTTGAATTAGTGCACTTCTGGCAACGTCCGCACCTAATTTTTCCGATGGTTTTATAATAGTTGACCAAATTTTCTGCTAAATGTTCTTACGTCAATAATACCTCTACTTTCAAAATCTAAAGCTTATATCTATAATCGTAAGATTTCGGATAGGGAAGAGTTTTCGTACGCAAATTAAAATAAGGAATTTGACTCTATATTTATGACTCATAATGCATACCGTTGGGAAAACATCTCTTCTTTTATCTTCTAGAAGATTACATCTAAAAGCTACTTTGAATAAAATCTTCCCATAAATTTTTTTTTTTTATTTTTATAGAATTTTTTTGTTGAAATTGTTTCTCTTTAAAATTTTATTTGAACCATCTCAAAAGAAAATTTTAGTTTAAATCTAACTCATTCATTTATTTTAATTTGGTTTTAGCTCTTATTTGAACTCTATTGAGACTTCAATTTGATTACAATTTGAACTTATAACTTGAGAAAACTGACACCAAATAGAAATATGTATGATTCGACCTACAAACTCGCAGTGAGAAATTATACCGTCAACCACTAGTCAAATTTATAGTTTGTCATAGTTGTTGAGATTCATTTCAACTCTCATTGTTTAAATCATTGCAATTAGTTTGAACTCTTCCAATTTGTTTGAATTTGTGTCATTCCATTGCTCATGTACAAACTGTTTTTTTTTTTCACATGCTGTCAATCCTGTAAAAATCTACCACCTAACAAACTTTGGCGCATACTCTTCTTTTTCACACATTGCCAATGATACTGATTTTTAGCCCAAACGAACTCTAGCCTAAATGTCATTTTCTATAGCATGCCACAAATAATCTATATTTTCAATGATGGTCTTAGTGAGTTGTTGTGGGTCATCTTGGCACCATAGTTTGCCTGTCAATTTGTATTTAGTCGAGTGATCTTGGCCCTACAACTGGCAATCTTTATTCCTCAGGTCGGACTATGCGATCTTAGCGCCACCGATTGCTGGCTTTGATTTGTGCTTAGTAGGACGATCTTGGCGCCACGACCGATACTCTTCATTCCCCAAGTCGGATTAGACAATCTTGGTGCAAGGATTTGTTAGTCTTCGATTTCTGTTCAGCCGGTCGATCTTAGCACCACAGTTGACAGTCTTTATTCTTCTAATCAAACTGAGTGATTTTGGAGTCACCGTCGGAAGTCTTCATTCCTCGAGTCAGACCGGTCAATCGAGGGGCCAAGTTCCGACCGACAAATGCTAGTTTCTCTCTTCTTTCAAGAGTCCGATCGAGGGTAGCCAGTTTCTTCTAAGATCGTTAGGACTTTCCCGACGTAAGGATGTGTCTGATCGGACGGCTCCGGGAGGAGCCTCCAGTGCTGGCGCTTTCCCTTGTCTCTGACCTGAATGTCCCTAATCCACGAACTCCTTCAGCTTTCCTTGCTTGATTTTCTCCTTAATAAGATTCCAGATGTGTCTACATTCCTTTGTATAGTGGCTCTGGCCCTGTGGTATTTGCGGTATTTCCTCATGTATCAGAGAAAGCTTTTGGCTCTCATTGGTGTTGGTTCTTTGAAGTATTCCTTGCCTTTGATTGTGTCCTCCATTTCCACCATAGAAACCCTCAAAGGGGTAGCTCACAAGCCTTCATAGTCTCCATACAATAGTTCATAACGTTGCGTCGCCCACTTGTAGTACTGGCCAGTGGCGGGTCCTGATTTCTTGCTTGGTCGACTTGCTAGTCGCATCGACCGAACCTTTCACCATCACAAGAGGGTTGGATGTCTTCATAATGACGTCGAATGGGTGGTCCGCATTCCTCCGTCCTTTGGTTTTGACCCGCCACTGGGGGAAGCTGTCTTCTAGGCATAATTTCCTTTTGGTTCTTGGGGTGTACTTTCTTCAACTAACATGTGCTTGTTGGCTCTTTCCAATAGATCGACTAAGCCTTTGGGTTCATTGATGCTGATGTCATAGGAGAATATCTCAGAACTCAAGGCTTGCCTTAAGACCACTAAAGCTGATGTTTCACCTCCAACATCACCCTTTGGAAAGTGTGCTGAATCCACATAGGCTCTCATGCTCACCTTGCTTGAGCTGCCATAAAGATTGGACACTTTTGGTGGGTTTCCAGACACTGACTAACTGTGCTAGAAACAGTTTCTTGAAATCAGTAAAGTTGTCGATGCTTCTGCCGGAAGCACATGGAACCACTTCAAGGGTGACAACCTCAACATGATGAAAAATAGGCAACACTTGAACACATCTGAGATTTTGAGCATACACACGAATGACTCGAATGCAGTGATATGGTAGTTTGGGTCTTATCACCCCCTATAAGCTTTTAAGGCTGGTAATTTGAACTATGTCAATGGCTCTGCCTTGAAGATTTGGAGGGAGAAGGTGTTCTCTGGCTGACCTGGCGCCACAGTAAGCCCTATGCATTGACTTTCGACCTGTTCGAACCTTGCACTGTCCTAGTACTGCGAGACATCAACCCCCTCATAGTCGTGGTTTGCTCTTCTACCGTTGTGTGTCAGTGCCATCTCATGTGGCTAATTTTGCTTTCATGGGGGCCTGATTTCTGGTTAGGCATGTGAAGATCCTCAAGCCCTCGGCGTTCTTATCTCATAACTGCCCCATGATTTCAGTCCTCATCTTCTGTATTCCTCTCTGCATGTGTTCCTTAATGTCGTCTTGTGCGAGATCCACATTGGTTACTGCTTTTTGATAGCTCCCTTCTCTTTGTGATCATTGTGCTCCTCTTTGCATCGACAAGAAGGCTCCATGCTCACCGTACCTTTTAGAATGTGGAATCTAAATATGTCCGGGAGAACCGCTTAAGGAATAGAGTGTTGGAAGGATGGTAAAGAGAGGGGAGAGAAATAACACATCAATGTATAGTAAATTTGTGTAATCTTTATTCATGAATTGAACCCCCTATTAATAGGAAAAAGTTTTGTACATTTAGACATTGTGCTCTTAAAGTATGTATGTACGGTGGGGGTATCTTAGTCCATACATAAGTTTGGACTGTGGGGCTCATAGGTGAAGCCGACCAACTGTCTTTAGGTAGTATGGAAAGAAGGTTGGGCAATTGCACGACCAGGTGGCCATAAGGCTAGGCGACTGTCGGGTTACCATTTGCCAAAAGTCCACATCGCTGCCTTGGAGTTGGAGGATCCATTTTTTCTTCCTAATCTACTAAAGTTGAAAAATAATTAGCTTGAACAGTTGGATCTAATTGGCTGGATTATTTAGGGATGATTCTTCCCTCATCCATCTGAGGTGCACCTTTTTAATAGTACAAGGACTCAAAGACTAGCTAATTGAACATATACATCTAAATCATCCTTGGTCGGCCTCATGAGACCACATCACCTTTTGCATCATCTATGAGATGTCTTTGTGATTCATATTGGTATATTTTTTTACGTACAATATATATATATATATATAGTTGGTTTTGTTAAAAATAATAATAATAAAG